CAGCATCTCTGCTCCTATGATGCTGCTTGGCCTGCTGTGTTCATCCAGCCCTGCACCTTGTTGCCTCGGATTCTCCAGCATCTGCAGTTCCTACTATCTCTGTATTATATATAACTCCAGTCCCAAACATTTTTTACTTTAAATCTTGAATGGCAGGGCAAAATTGCCAGGTCCTGTCTCAATGCTGATGTACAGAAGAGGAATATTGTGTGTACAAGTCATCTGGTGAACATATTGATGGCTTGGCACATGTTGTAATCCATTGTGACCACAGTATCCTAAAGGCATTGTTGACACAGAATGACGGTGGTGGGAAATCCATTGTTTTCCTGTTCCTGGCCTGTTTGGACTCTTACTCACATAATCCCTGATTTCAAAGTGTTTTGTTAAATGTTGTTGTTCATTGGTAACATTCTTGCCTCTGAGTCAGAGAATTGTGGATTTCTAACCCACTCTCGAGGACATATTCAGCGCAGTCTTAAGGTCATGCTGCACTGTCTGAGGTGTCACCATTTGGGTGAGCCGTTAGTCAGATGGATATACAAAATGCCATGCTACTATGTGAAGATCTCCCAGATGCTGGGCCAATGTCAGTAAGACATTCATAATTCACAATAATTCAATATTTCTGAAATCTTGCTGAGTGCAAATTAGCTCCTGCATTTCTGACAAAATAATAGTGACTGTGCTTATGAAGCACTTATTTAGGTATAAACGCATTGGAACATATGACACTACATAAATGCAAATAGTATTTGGCAGTATAGAACATGAATTTGCTAAAATCGACACATCTTGTCAAATCTTTTCACCTTGCACTCAACAGGACAATTTACAAGAAATACCAATTTAAGAGGAAAACCAATCTTTATCCTTTATGACAGGAGAGTGCTGATTGGTTGACAAGGAAACTCTGACTGATAGAGGCATAGTTAATGATGCCAGTTAATGATGATTGACAGATAACTTCCAGGCTTTGTTTATATTTTAAACTAGGCAGGTTGACTTTGATTCATTTCTCAGGGCAGGGCTTTAACTAGTGAATGGCTGTTACCTATTTTGTTGAGTTGAAGTGGGAACAGTGCATGTGCGTGTTCTTTCCATCAAAAGAATCGGGCCCTGTTTATTAATAGATACAGCTTCCACTACATGCAAAGGTGCTGCACTGGAAGCCCAACTGACAATCCTAAATTGGCTGACAGCATTATTCTTCACACACTCCGAATTATCCAGCAAATGTTGTCCAATTGATGAATCGCATCAAATGTTGGATGCTGTGTTGCACGTGTGGACTGGTTGTGTGTGTTCAGTGCCTTTCTTGTTACGAAAACCTAAAGGGATGTGCTGTTTGAAACAATCTTTTGGATACAAGGCCTACACACCTGGCTTTGCACCAGCCCTGAAATCCATTACCCCAGTGTTTATTTGTGTATTAGCAATGTGAAATATTTGTTGCTCAAACATTTGAGTTATCTTACCTGAGGTAGACTGGGCATTTTTCAGGACCAAAAGTGATTGCCTTGGGGCTATTTGTGAAACCAAGTGATACTCAGCGAGAAATTTTCTGAGATAGTAGGAACTGCAGATGCTGGAGAATCTGAGATAACGTCCTCCCTGTACTGACCTATCCCCTCCCTAACTCCCCACCTATACTCACCTTTACTGGCTCCATCCCTGCCTCTTTGACCTGTCTGTTTCCTCTCCACCTATCTTCTCCTTTATCCATCTTCTATCCACCTCCCCCTCTCTCCCTATTTGTTTCAGAATCCCCTTCCCCTCCTCCATTTCTGAAGAAGGGTCTAGACCCTAAACGTCAGCCTTCCTGCTCCTCTGATGCTGCTTGGCTTGCTGTGTCCATCCAGCTCTACACCTTGTTATCTGAGAAATTTTCTGATCGGGTTATCTGGCAGGATGGCTTTGATGCCTCTATTTCCACAGTCTACTCTGGCCTTATTTATGAGTTTGCCAATGAGACCAACCTTCAATTGCATGGAACATATCCCTTAGGCTGTTCGCAACAAGCATGATACAGACTGTATCCACGCCTGCAAAACACACAACACCATATCCTATATTAAACGTGATTCTGCAATGAGATAAAATTTGCTGGATAATCTGTAACAGTATAAATTATGATTTTCCCCTTAAATAAAAGTTCTTACAAATTGTCCTGGTGAAAGCTAGATAAAAAGCTTCAGCAATATGCATCTTTTTACAGCAATAGCTGGAAGTCTTTTCTTTACTTCAGACTCCATATCCAATATTGCAACCTGCTTCGAGGCTTTTGACAGTTCTGTTTACTTACGAGGAGGTGATTGTGAATAGCAACAGTGACTTTCATCACCCATTCCCTAAGAATATAGTTTGTTCCCATAGCTCCTTCACTGATAAAGTGGTTGAGTAGGTAGACTTCCAGGTGTGATTCTCCTCCACTGTATGATGCAGATCTGATATATTACTTTTTGCCTTCCTTCTAATTTTCTGATCAGTAACTTTCTATCATTAGTTCCTTCTATAATTAGCTACGATGTAAAATCAATATGCTTGTCGGCTGATAAACACTACATTCTGAAGATTAATTTATAATGGTTTGTATCTTGCTATTAAATGGTAAAGTTGCACTGATGCAAAATGGTCAATACAGCTGAACTGAGACTGATTATTATGAATCAACCTGGAAGAGACAGCTTCAACTTTGGTATCATTTATAACCACCTACAAAGCTAAATAACTTGCCTTTACGTTTCAAATTTTAGAAAAGAGTCAGCTGTTTGGTCATTGGTAGTTGGAGGCCAAAGAACAAGTGTTTAAATTTGCGTGCAAGTTTCTGCTCTGCTATAACCAGCGGAGGCTGGAGAGTTAATAAACACTGTGTATTCATGTGTAAGAACATAGCTTCCTTTGGGGCTTGAATTTTCTGTTTATATTTGGCACATTGCACCTGTCCTGGCTCCAAAGGAGCTATGCATTCTCATTCTACTTTCTAGCTCTCAGTCCATAATCTGTGAGGTTACAGCCCTGTCATATTTTGTTTTGTAATACTTCAGTGAAGCAAATTCATCGATTTCATTACATTAAAGCAACTTTATAAATATAAATTGTATTGCTGAAGACACAAATTAGCAACAGAATTTCTTTTTGAATAGATATCATGTGCCTGTACCCAAAAACAAATTATCATAAGCAGACATTCCATAAACTGATGAATCCACAGCTAAATGATTGTATATTTGTACCAACCGTAGTCTCTGGCACCTCAAATAATTCTCAGTATGTGGGACTCTTTTGGACTGTCATAATGCTGCCCCTCTTTCCCCTTTCAACCGCAACTTCCTTTTACAGCCTGTGACAATGCTACGGCTTTAAGAGGTATATTTTGTCGTTTTTTGAAATGAGGGTTGACACAGAGGTGCTGAGCAGAATGCTCAAGGTCAATAAAATAAACAGCCTTTGAGACCTTGGCTTTTTTTTTAAAAGTTGGAACAATAGAAGCAGCCTGAATGAGTGGAGTCAAGCTCCCACAGAACCAGGAATTTTAGTTTTAGCTTTCAGCAGTTGCTGGGGTCTTGAGGCTGGACTTGGAAGCTTTTATTCCTCTCTCTGTTACAACTAAAAGCTGGGGTT